TATGCACACACCACTTTTCAGTTATTTATTTTTATAATTTTCTGAAACAAGTTATTTTTTACATTCCACTTCACCAATTTGGACTATTTTGTGAATGTCCATTACATGAAATGCAAATAAAAATCCATTAAAATTACAGGTTATAATGCAACAAAATAGAAAAAACGCCAAGGGGGATGAATATCTTTTTTAGGCACTGTGTGTGTGTATACAGTGGGGAAAAAAAGTATTTAGTCAGCCACCAATTGTGCAAGTTCTCCCACTTAAAAAGATGAGAGGCCTGTCATTTTCATCATAGGTACACGTCAACTATGACAGACAAATTTAGATTTTTTTTCCAGAAAATCACATTGTAGGATTTTTAATGAATTTATTTGCAAATTATGGTGGAAAATAAGTATTTGGTCACCCACAAACAAGCAAGATTTCTGGCTCTCACAGACCTGTAACTTCTTCTTTAAGAGGCTCCTCTGTCCTCCACTCGTTACCTGTATTAATGGCACCTGTTTGAACTTGTTATCAGTATAAAAGACACCTGTCCACAACCTCAAACAGTCACACTCCAAACTCCACTATGGCCAAGACCAAAGAGCTGTCAAAGGACACCAGAAACAAAATTGTAGACCTGCACCAGGCTGGGAAGACTGAATCTGCAATAGGTAAGCAGCTTGGTTTGAAGAAAGCAACTGTGGGAGCAATTATTAGGAAATGGAAGACATACAAGACCACTGATAATCTCCCTCGATCTGGGTCTCCACGCAAGATCTCACCCCGTGGGGTCAAAATGATCACAAAAACGGTGAACAAAAATCCCAGAACCACACGGGGGGACCTAGTGAATGACCTGCAGAGAGCTGGGACCAAAGTAACAAAGCCTACCATCAATAACACACTACGCCGCCAGGGACTCAAATCCTGCAGTGCCAGACGTGTCCCCCTGCTTAAGCCAGTACATGTCCAGGGCCATCTGAAGTTTGCTAGAGTGCATTTGGATGATCCAGAAGAGGATTGGGAGAATGTCATATGGTCAGATGAAACCAAAATAGAACTTTTTGGTAAAAACTCAACTCGTCGTGTTTGGAGGACAAAGAATGCTGAGTTGCATCCAAAGAACACCATACCTACTGTGAAGCATGGGGGTGGAAACATCATGCTTTGGGGCTGTTTTTCTGCAAAGGGACCAGGACGACTGATCCGTGTAAAGGAAAGAATGAATGGGGCCATGTATCGTCAGATTTTGAGTGAAAACCTCCTTCCATCAGCAAGGGCATTGAAGATGAAATGTGGCTGGGTCTTTCAGCATGACAATGATCTCAAACACACCGCCCGGGCAACGAAGGAGTGGCTTCGTAAGAAGCATTTCAAGGTCCTGGAGTGGCCTAGCCAGTCTCCAGATCTCAACCCCATAGAAAATCTTTGGAGGGAGTTGAAAGTCCGTGTTGCCCAGCGACAGCCCCAAAACATCACTGCTCTAGAGGAGATCTGCATGGAGGAATGGGCCAAAATACCAGCAACAGTGTGTGAAAACCTTGTGAAGACTTACAGAAAACGTTTGACCTGTGTCATTGCCAACAAAGGGTATATAACAAAGTATTGAGAAACTTTTGTTATTGACCAAATACTTATTTTCCACCATAATTTGCAAATAAATTCATAAAAAATCCTACAATGTGATTTTCTGGAGAAAAAAATTCTCATTTTGTCTGTCATAGTTGACGTGTACCTATGATGAAAATTACAGGCCTCTCTCAATCTTTTTAAGTGGGAGAACTTGCACAATTGGTGGCTGACTAAATACTTTTTTCCCCCACTGTATGTATGTATATATATATATATATATATATATATATATATATATATATATATATCGTAATCTTATATGAAAACCCATAGCATTATTTTGTAAAATGGTTAATGCATAATAAGGGATTTTCCTATTGAGAGCTGGTTGGTGCCTCTATCAAGTCCTCAGAAATTCTTACAGGTGCTTTATATCCATTTTTGTATTCAAACCTTGCTTGACACTCGTCAGTGTTTGTCTGCGACATTTGTGGAACCTACACAGAATACCATTATATAATAGAACAAGGCAAGGCACCGCTACAGGCTAGATTATGACAAGCGGACAGACAGACGTGTGAGCCAAGGTCGGGGTCTCATGGTAGTAGGAATTTCAAGCCGAAATCACTTCAACTTTGAGCCATTCGTTCAAACAATTGCTAATTGCTTCAGGCCCTGGGTGTCAAAAGTGTGTGTGGGTGCAATTAGCAGGCGGGTACAAGCGAACCTCGGGTGGTTTGTTTTATTACATGACAATGCCAAGGAGCCAATGGGAGTGCTGAGAAGGTAACATGCTGAAAGGAGAGACTAATTAGGAGAGTAGTGCAGTGGCAGAAAACACAAATTGCAGCTGGCCTCTTGTGGAGGCACACTGTTGCCACAGACAACAGTGATTATTGACAGTTCATGCATTGCTACTGCCTCAAACTTAGTTATTTAATGGGACACCAATTGCATTTCTGGAACTTGAGGACTTTTCTTTGTGATTGTCTCAAAAAGAAACTGCAAACTGTGACAGTATGTGCTTCAAAGTTTGAATACATAATTACTGGATTTCATTGTTGATGACCTTTAAAAAAAAAAAAAATGTATCTATTTGTGCTTCCAAGGTATTTATGGCTTGACGTTTTATTGTTTTTAGGTAAAAAATTAAGGGTGAAAATCCTTTTCAATATAATTTGTTGATGGGGGTGCAAAAATGTAGCAAAATAAACTCAGCAAAAAAAGAAACGTCGTCTCACTGTCAACTGCGTTTATTTTCAGCAAACTTAACATGTGTAAATATTTGTATGAACATAACAAGATTCAACAACTGAGACATAAACTGAACAAGTTCCACAGATATGTGACTAACATAAATTGAATAATGTGTCCCTGAACAAAGGGGGGGTCAAAATCAAAAGTTACAGTCAGTATCTGGTGTGGCCACCAGCTGCATTAAGTACTGCAGTGCATCTCCACCTCATGGACTACACCAGATTTGCCAGTTCTTGCTGTGAGATGTTACCCCACTCTTCCACCAAGGCACCTGCAAGTTCCCAGACATTTCTGGGGGGAATGGCCCTAGCCCTCACCCTCCGATCCAACAGGTCCCAGACATGCTCAATGGGATTGAGATCCGGGCTCTTCGCTGGCCATGGCAGAACACTGACATTCCTGTCTTGCAGGAAATCCCACACAGAACGAGCAGTATGGCTGGTGGCATTGTCATGCTGGAGGGTCATGTCAGGATGAGCCTGCAGGAAGGGTACCACATGAGGGAGGAGGATGTCTTCCCTGTAACGCACAGCGTTGAATTTGCCTGCAATGACAACAAACTCAGTCCGATGATGCTGTGACACACCGCCCCAGACCATGACAGACTCTCCACCTCCAAATCGATCCCGCTCCAGAGTACAGGCCTCGGTGTAACGCTCATTCCTCGACGATAAACGCGAATCCGACCATCACCACTGGTGAGACAAAACCGCGACTCGTCAGTTAAGAGCACTTTTTGCCAGTCCTGTCTGGTCCAGCGACGGTGGGTTTGTGCCCATAGGCGACATTGTTGCCGGTGATGTCTGGTGAGGACCTGCCTTACAACAGGCCTACAAGCCCTCAGTCCAGTTTCTCTCAGCCTATTGCGGACAGTCTGAGCACTGATGGGAGGGATTGTGCGTTCCTGGTGTAACTCGGGCAGTTGTTGTTGCCATCCTGTACCTGTCCCGCAGGTGTGATGTTCGGATGTACCGATCCTGTGCAGGTGTTGTTACACGTGGTCTGCCACTGTCCGTCCTGTCTCCCTGTAGCACTGTCTCGGATGTACCGATCCTCACAGTACGGACATTGCAATTTATTGCCCTGGCCACATCTGCAGTCCTCATGCCTCCTTGCAGCATGCCTAAGGCACGTTCACGCAGATGAGCAGGGACCCTTTCTTTTGGTGTTTTTCAGAGTCAGTAGAAAGGCCTCTTTAGTGTCCTAAGTTTTCATAACTGTGACCTTAATTGCCTACCGTCTGTAAGCTGTTAGTGTCTTAACGACCTTTCCACAGGTGCATGTTCATTAATGGTTCATTGAACAAGCATGGGAAACTGTGTTTAAACCCTTTACAATGAAGATCTGTGAAGTTATTTGGATTTTTACGAATTATCTTTGAAAGACAGGGTCCTGAAAAAGGGACGTTTCTTTTTTTGCAGAGTTTAGTTAATTTTCCCCAAAGCACCGCTATTTGGCTGGTGTTCACATCTGCTGAGCTCCGTTTATAGATTTTTTCTTCTTTGTGGACTCCAGACAGTCCCCTCTTCGATCGTTGCCACTGTAAAATGTATTAAATTACACTCCATGCTGCTGCTGGTAGATTTAGGCTATTTTCTGCCTGTTGCTCTACTGATCGAAAAACAGAAGAAACCAAAAATCTAATGAGGGAGCTTGTGCCACATTGTCGAAACTAACCATTCAAATTTAGTTGGAGGAGGAAGTGAGAGAGGGATTTTGTGTATTATAGTTTTGTGTTAAGGTGTATTTGAATTTGTTCCCTGGTTTGTTACATTGACTTTTATACAATGACTTTAGAACTTCAGATATCCTACAACTTTGATGTGATATCTTTGCCAGAAAGTGAGACCATAGAGAAATTGGTAATTATTTTTTCCTTGTTCTTGTTGTACTGGATGTTATGACTGTTCTGTTTTAAACTGTTGTAAACATTGGACGAGTGGTCTGCAGTTACTAATGTAATGGATTTCCTTTGATGCTCGGCCGTCTGTACTATCTCCTAAGATATCAAATCACTCAATGACTTAATGTTAGTGTGTACTTTTGTCTCCCCAACCTATAAATGCAGTATATTATTGTAGTTTTTGTACTAATATCTCTCTTTCTTTTTCTTTCTCTCTATCTCCATCTCTCTCTCTCTCACTCCCTCCATCCATTCCTCCCTTCCTTCCTCTCTCCCAGGATTCAGTCGTGCCGCTCTGCCGTTTGGCCTGGTCAGAAGAGAGCTCTCTTGCGAGGGCTACGCCATTGATCTCCGCTGCCCCGGTGCTGATGTCATCATGATCGAGACGGCCAACTACGGCCGCACTGACAACAAGATCTGCGATGCTGAACCGTTCCAGATGGAGAACATCAACTGCTACCTCCCCGATGCCTACAAGATCATATCACAAAGGTAAGAGTCAACTGCTACCTCACCCAAGGTCTACAAGATCATATCACAAAGGTAAGAGTCAACTGCTACCTCCCCGATGCCTACAAGATCATATCACAAAGGTAAGAGTCAACTGCTACCTCACCCAAGGTCTACAAGATTGTATTTCAAAGGTTATAGAACAGAAAGGTCTTGTTACACAATACAACCTGAAGTTAGTTATGGATATGTGGTGGTACGATATTCTAGAGTCCAGTCTAGTAATTCTGGATGCACAACCTGCAAATCAAAACAAGTGGTTTTGGTTTGGGTGGTAACCCTAATAAACTAGTGTTTTTGGTTTGGGTGGTAACCCTAATAAACTAGTGGTTTTGGTTTGGGTGGTAACCCTAATAAACTAGTGTTTTTGGTTTGGGTGGTAACCCTAATAAACTAGTGTTTTTGGTTTGGGTGGTAACCCTAATAAACTAGTGGTTTTGGTTTGGGTGGTAACCCTAATAAACTAGTGGTTTTGGTTTGGGTGGTAACCCTAATAAACTAGTGGTTTTGTCACCTTCTCAACTTGCAGACAAAAAACAGACAGTTTACCCACAGCTCCCTGTCTTTCAATAATCCAATGTTTTTTGGGGGGGTAATGTTGTGAAACTCTAGACCGTAAAAGCTGGACAGGGGGTCATTAGTAGCAACCCTAGACCATATGGTCTGTGCATTCCTGCATAGTACCACTGCAGCTGCACAATCAGTCAGCCAGCCAGCCGGTCCGGCTCAAAAGGACCCAAAGAGTCACATGAACCTCCTTCGTAATCCCTCTGTTTCCTACCTTTGGCTTCTTTTTTGCAACACTTGTACTGCATTGACACGGCCCAGCTCCCCGCCCTCAGCAATGCCCCTTCCCCCCTTAAAATACCATTTATATTAGTAACACTCTCCCAGGACATTTAGCTACAGTACAGTCACTAGGCTGCATTCATCACTTTAACTCTGCTGTTGCGCCGGACCTAGCCCGACGGTGTGTATTTAAAGGACCCCATGTCGTAGGGACTGGATGTTGGAGCAGCCTTAAGGGCAGTAAGTAGCAGGAGGCTTCAGGATCAGGTGCAAAATAGTGTCCAGTTTATTAACAGTGAAAGGTAGTTCCTGTCACAACTTCCGCCGAGGCTGCCTCCCCTCCTTGTTCGGGCAGGCTTCGGCGTTCGTCGTCACTGGCTTACTAACCACTGCTGCCCCAATTATCATCATCACATTTGTCTTGTCAATCACACACACCTGGTTCTAATCCCCTCATTAGTTTGTGTATAAGTGTTCCCTCTGCCCCCTTGTCCTTGTGGGTGATTGTTTGAATGTGAGAGTAGTGTAGCTCGGTGGAGCTACTCGTACCATTTTGTTGCCAGGGTAGATATTTCCCATGTGCCTATGTATTATATGGAGATAGCATTACAGTGTATTGCCAGGGTAGATAGTTTCCCCTGTGCCTGTTTCGTTTGTCGCTATTCCAGCGTATTTTGTGTAACGAAGGAATAAACTCTGTATTCGGTGATTACCCTCCTGCGCCTGACTCCTTCCATCACACTCATCACAGTTCCAGGTGAATGACGAAATTCAATGAATATTTACATAATCTACAAAGGTATTTACACAATGAACAGACTCTCAAAATACAGGTTTGAATATAAATCGAAAACCTAAGCCTCAATCAGGCCTACCCTGTCAAACCAACTATACTGTAGCAGGTTGGGGTATACCAGGCTATGGACAGCCTCCCCACACAGCTCACATACCAGAGCTAGAACATCACTCCAGCTCACAGGTTGAACAGGTACCTTTATACCTATGGCCCCTCCCTATGGACCATACCATTAACCATGGAGCTCTTTACCCAAATATGACATATTAAATCATGTAACAGACATCTTCATTGTACCTACATTTACATATTCCATCTAAATAAACATCTTAAACATTCCTGGTTTATCCTCAAAGCGGGTATACTTTCCATTAATGAATACACATTTCATAACAATAGTTCTGCAGGCCACAGGCGGCAAAACATATTACTTATACAGTCGTGGTCAAATGTTTTGACAATGACACAATTATTAGTCTTCACTAAGTTTGCTGCTTCAGTGTTTTTAGATATTTTGTCAGATGTTACTATGGTATACTGAAGTATAATTACAAGCATTCCATAAGTGTCAAAGGCTTTTATTGACAATTACATTAAGTTTATGCAAAGAGTCAATATTTGCAGTGTTAACCCTTATTTTTCAAGACCTCTGCAATCCGCCCTGGCATGCTGTCAATTAACTTCTGGGCCACATCCTGACTGATGGCAGCCCATTCTTGCATAATCAATGCTTGGAGTTTGTCCGAATTTGTGGGGTTTTGTTTGTCCACCCGCCTTTTGAGGATTGACCACAAGTTCTCAATGGGATTAAGGTCTGGGTAGTTCCTGGCCATGGACCCAATATTTTGATGTTTTGTTCCCAGAGCCACTTAGTTATCACTTTTGCTTTATGGCAAGGTGCTCCATCATGCTGGAAAAGGCATTGTTCGTCACCAAACTGTTCTTGGATGGTTGGGAGAAGTTGCTCTCGGAGGATGTGTTGGTACCATTCTTTATTCATGGCTGTGTTCTTAGGCAAAATTGTGAGTGAGCCCAATCCCTTGGCTGAGAAGCAACCCCACACATGAATGGTCTCAGGATAATTTACTGTTGGCATGACACAGGACTGATGGTAGCGCTCACCTTGTCTTCTTCGGACAAGCTTTTTTCCGGATGCCCCAAACAATCGGAAAGGGGATTCATCAGAGAAAATGACTTTACCCCAGTCCTCAGCAGTCCAATCCCTGTACCTTTTGCAGAATATCAGTCTGTCCCTGATGTTTTTCCTGGAGAGAAGTGGCTTCCTCGCTGCCCTTCTTGACACCAGGCCATCCCCCAAAAGTATTTGCCTCACTGTGCGTGCAGATGCACTCACACCTGCCTGCTGCCATTCCTGAGCAAGCTCTGCACTGGTGGTGCCCCGATCCCGCAGCTGAATCAACTTTAGGAGAAGGTCCTGGCGCTTGCTGGACTTTCTTGGGCGCCCTGAAGCCTTCTTCACAACAATTGAACCTCTCTCCTTGAAGTTCTTGATGATCCGATAAATGGTTGATTTAGGTGCAATCATACTAGCAGCAATATCCTTGCCTGTGAAGCCCTTTTTGTGCAAAGCAATGATGACGGCACGTGTTTCCTTGCAGGTAACCATGGTTAACAGTGGAAGAACAATGATTTCAAGCACCACCCTCCTTTTAAAGCTTCCAGTCTGTTATTCTAACTCAATCAGCATGACAGAGTGATCTCCAGCCTTGTCCTAGTCAACACTCTTACCTGTGTTAACGAGAGAATCACTGACTTGATGGCAGCTGGTCCTTTTGTGGCAGGGCTGAAATGCAGTGGAAAAGTTTTTTTGGGATTAAGTTCATTTTCATGGCAAATAGGGACTTTGCAATTAATTGCAATTAATCTGATCACTCTTCATAACATTCTGGAGTATATGCAAATTGCCATCATAAAAACTGAGGCAGCAGACTTTGTGAAAATTAATATTTGTGTCATTCTCAAAACGTTTGACCATGACTGTACAGCAGTGCTCGTGTGCTCCCATTACGCACAGACAAGGCCGGTCCTTGCCGTTCTGCCACCCTAGGTGACACCAAAAAATATTTGGTTTGAATGAAAGTTGATTTATAAACGTCTATGTTTGGGCCAAATCAAGGCTGGTCCAGACCGGACAAAATCTGAACCAAACATAGACGTTTATGATTGGTTCAGATTTGGTCCGAACCGGACCAAAAACCAATGTCCGTGGATGTGGAAATCAAGGCCGGTCCGGACTGCACCAAAAAAAGACGTCCAAAAGACGTCGGCTCGTGCTTACTGAGGTGTAGCCTACCATGTCAGCCCACAATGGAATTTTATGAATGCCCATCCATGTGGAAGGCCCACCATTTGTAAAACAGGCCGTTACATTGGCTTTATTAGTCCTGATTCCTGACTAATCCATTTGGCTATTTAAGCTCTGAATATTGCTACCCAACTTTGTCAGGAGTTATCGTGAGTTTATTTGCAATGTGTTTACACAGCAGAAAATGCAGAGGTATTTTATTTTTTCGCAATGATCAGCTTGTAAAAAAATTTACAGATACAAATTTTAAACCATTGATTATGACAATGAGGTGAAACTCCTGGACAACAGTTGTGATTGCCTATGACGCATGCTGGCTGAAACAATGAAGATAAATACACCCCATAAGAAGACAAAAATGATGGTGGTGGATTTGTCTGTGACCATGGATGCCACTATGGGTTTACTATTTACTAAGTATTTGAAGAATTAAAAAGAACCCATCAGACAATTGTTCATAAACAAAAAACACACATATGATGATTAACACAAAAATATGATAGGTGAAAATAATCACTGTTTCAGTGGAGAGAAATTAGTGTTAACACATACGCAGGCAATGAGTCATGTCTATAAATTAATTATTTGGTTTCATAATTTCTGGTGTCATCGGAGGAAAAAAACATAAAACGGTAGCTAGCTAATTTACAGATTAATTGCAGGGAAAGTTCTGGAGGGTTTTTCACACCCTTTCCCAGGCAGCGCTATCTCTCCCCTCAGAGTAGGACAGGGTAATAGCCCTTGGCGGGGGATAATTACATTTTTCATAATTAATATTTTCTGACGAAGGGGAGTGGATGAGTGTAGCTCACATATCAGACGTCACTGTCTTGTCTGCATCCCCGACAACATCCTGTAATGTCATTGTGATGGTGGTGGTGATGACGATAATGATGATGATGATGATCTGCCGGCTGCTATCGTAGAATAGATTATGCAAGGGAGACATAATGGGAGAGATGGAAGAAAGAAAATGATTAGCCTACCGACCATACATTAGTTGGACGTAATTGTCCAATATTTCAATGCTAATCACAAACTTATAAGCAGGCTGTAATAGGCAGCAAGTGACTGGTTAATAAACACTTGGCATTTTACGCATGTGTGTCTTATCTGTACGTAATTATAATTTCCTACAAGGTTACTGATTTCACTGCAGGGAAGTTTTATGGCAGGTCTGACAACCTAATTTCTACTTTGGCTGTCACACTGAAAGCTCTCCTTTTCGGCTTTTGAGGGACACCTAGGCTTTCTGCTTCGGCTGTGATTCTGTGAGAGATCTGTCCAACTTGTACGACTTTGCATTTGACCTTCAGGCCAAATATTTATCACTAAACCGGTTTGCAATTTTTTCAGCTTTTCTTTTTGTCATGGATAACTGTTTCCCAGCTAGCACATAACGTTATGAGAACCACATGCTTCTTAGAGCTTGGTGAGAGCGTGGTTGTCCTATGGTTATTTTGCATACAACGAATGGTCGCAGAATAGTTGCTTGGCTGGGAACATTCTCAGCACATGGTAGGACTGATCACCAACAACAACCTCTCCCTCAACGTCAGTAAGACAAAGGAGCTGATTGTGGACTACAGGAAACGGAGGGGCGAGCATCCACATTGATGGGGCTGTAGTGGAGTGGGTCGAGAGCTTCAAGTTCCTCAGTGTCCACATCACTAAGGAATTAGCATGGTCCATACACACCTAAACAGTTTTGAAGAGGGCATGACAGCGCCTAATCCCCTCACAGGAGGCTGAAAAGATTTGGCATGGGCCCTCAGAACCTCAAAAAGTTATACAGCTGCACCATTGAGAGCATCTTGACTGGCTGCATCACCGCTTGGTACGGCAACTGGCAAGGCACCTGACTGCAAGGTGCTACAGAGGGTGGTGAGTATGGCCCAGTACATCACTGGGGCTGAGCTCCCTGTCATCCAGGACCTCTATACCAGGCGGTATAAATGGTCAGACTCCAGCCACCCAAGCCATAGACTCTTCTCTCTGCTATCGCACGGCAAGCGGTACCAGTCACCAAGTATGGAACCACCAGGACCCTGAAAAGCTTCTACCCCCAAGGCATACGACTGCTAAACAAGACTGCTAAATAGCTAATCAAATGGCTACCCAGACTATCTGCATTGACCCCTTTTTTTTTTACTAACTCTCTTGCACTGACTCTACCCACACACTCACACATACTTACACTGACATCCCCAACACATACGCGCACACACACACACACGCACACACACTACATACGCCCACACACACATAACATGCGCACACATGCATACTGACCACACACACACACAGACACACACACAAAGCCATACGACTTACTATACATTTGTTCCTCCTGTCACTATTTCTATAAATGTTTTTATTTTTGAAGCATTTCACTAAGTAAACCTGTTGTTTACGAAGCATGTGACATAACATTTGATTTGTTTTAAAGAAACGTGACAAAAAAACTTAATTTTCTTGGTATTTAATTACTTTAACAGAACGTTTCCTAAAAGTTAAATGGTTCTATTTAAAGTAATGTTCTCAAATTATTCAGAGAACGTTAAGAAAACTTTCCATAAAAACTAAAAAAATACTTTAGTAACGTTCAGAGAACGTTATTTAAAAACGTATACATTACGTTTTAAGCATCAACAATCCTCTCTCTATCCTCTCTTTAAGTGTGTTCAGGTGTGTTAGCCGCGCCCATTAATTGACCCCATCTGATCTTAATGAGTGCTTGTTTAAATAGACTAAAATGAGCGTCCTGGTGGACTAATTCCATGGATAGAGCGTCTGCTAAATGACTTAAATGTAAATGATAGAGAACAAAAGACTGTAGGTTAGAATCTCACTGATGCCATGTCAAAATAAATGTTTTAATGTTTGCATGATTAATGCCTATGGAAATGTCCTTTCTGTTATTAAGTCTTATTGAAACATTCAGTTAAAGTTTTAAGGAAGTTATTAAAAACCTCCAAATAACCTATAATCTCCATTCATAGAGGGTTAATAAAACCTTCCAGGAAAACTTTCAAGGAACCAGAGTAAAACGTTCTTAGAACCTCCCTGCGTCCTAAAAATAAATGTGAAATTTTCACTTCTGTTCTCAGAACGTCAAAAAATGGTTCCCGTTTTACCGGTCATGAAATGTATGGCTTCGTTCTCACAACCAATGTGAAACCAAAAACATACGTTCTCACAACTTCCAAGGAACCAAAAGTGCTAGCTGGGTTGCCTCTGCTGCTGCTGTTGATGCTGATGCCTTCTCAATCCCTCAGCCTCAAGAGAGCTTGATTGAAGTGAGGCCAATTTCATCCTATATTTACACAAAATCAGTTATTCTATTCCACTCTCTTTCCCCCTCCATCTTTCAGTCACAAAACACAAACACACACAGTTGTAACAGTTTTAAGAGTAGTACATGCAACTTCATAGCCAAGGTCATTTCAAGTTATGAGGCAAATAACTAACTCCCATAGCAAAGGCTTGGGAGTCTCCCATAACAAATACATGGGCAACACTTGATAAACAGTACATGGTTTTCACTTGATGAAATGTGTTTCCTGTGACCCACATTTCAGCCAATTACCCTCTGCAGCCGCCTGTTGTGAACAATCTAATTGCTCTTTGTGTGGGTGAGTGGTGCTTAGTGGCTGGTACTCATAAGGTTGATATTCTCATCTCATATACATGAACATCCCATAATATACTTCATACCTGTCTTCAGCTCAACTGTCCTCTTAATTCTTCCGCACTGTGTCAGTTTTCCTCTTTATATCTATTTACTGTGTGTGTGTGTTTCTCTTTATATCTATTTATTGTTTCCCTCTATTTATTCTCTTATTCCTCCCTCAACTTGTTAATCGCATCTACAGTATATTTACTGCCCTGCTCGGATGAATAGGATTTTCATATCCTTCACCACAGCAATACTGCAAACTGGATTTGAATGAGTGTGTAGATGGAAGAGGGAAAGCGGCTATGTATTAATCATGTATTTCTCTCATCCTAATACCACTCTGGGAATGTTATAGTAGTTTGTGTCATTGCTGAAATGTTTGTGATCCATCTTTTCCCAGGTGCAACAACCGTACCCAGTGTGTGGTTGTGACTGGCTCTGATGTTTTCCCTGATCCTTGTCCTGGCACTTACAAGTACCTAGAGGTCCAGTATGAATGTGTCCCATATAGTAAGTATTCAGCATTTAATGATGCAGTGCAACTATATTGTGTTTCTTGAATGTGTAGTTAGGTTTATTAGAACCTTTACTTATTAAGTGGGGTTCTGTGGGAGGGGTGGGGGGGATATGTGTTATCTGTGTGTAAAAGTTAGTTTTTCGTCTATTATAAAACAATGAAAAGTTGATCCCCCCCAAAATAATACATTTATTTATATAAAAAAATCGGACTCTTGTTGTTGTTACAGTATGTAATTCACTGGAGATGTATTTTCTGAAATAATCTTTTGGTTTGACCTCTTCTTCATTTCTCATCTAACTTTCCTTCCCCTCTTGTATCTTTTCTGTATTAACCTCTATGCTCTCTCTCCTTCTAAGTTTCAGTCTTTCTTGTTCCTTAGTTGTCTCGCTAGGATCTTTCCCTCTTCCGTTAGTTGCTTCACTGCTTTAATGAAGGAACTCAATATTGGGTTGCTTGTCATCAGCCATTGTTCACTTGCAATTGTATTTTTTGGCTCATTAGGGAAATTGTGCCTGTAACATTAGCAAGTAATGTTCTGTGTGTGGGCGAAGCAGACTATGGAATTTAGATTTGTGTCTATAAAGTTTTTGTGTAAATACTGCCCCAGACAATACTGCCAAAAATAACCCTTTTGCTGTTTCTCTAAGAATGTTATCTGATTTTAAACTGAATAGCGATTTCAGAAACAGTACAATGTTTCTTTATGTCAAACAATTCACTTGGAAAGTAATGTGGCCTGTTTATTACTGATGCAATCAGTGGCTAGGCAAAAACATGTTATTTTGATGGCTAGAAAAGCATGGAATCGTGATCGGTTGAACAATGTTTGTAGCTTGTCTCCAGCCCTAACCTGTGTGCTTTCATATTATAGGGCCTGATAATCTTCCTATTTGTTCAGTCTTTTTTCTTGTTCCCCCAAAACAGCCATCTCTTGGTCCTCTATCTATCATATCCTGTAACCTTCTCTACTCATGTAGCCTACCTGGTAGTTGACTCATGATAACCTTTCTCTCCCTCTTGCACTCTTTCTTTTTTGCTTTCTTCTTTTCCAATGCCTAAAATAGAAGTGGAACAAAAAGGTAAATGAGTGGTCCAGTCTTCCCCACGTCCCACCCGCCCCCCAGCTCCCTGTAATGTGGTGTACAACCCTTCCTCTTGTCTCCTCCCTCCTGATTGCCTCTTGTCAAAACGCCGGCCCCAAACCCCCATAGGTTGTTGATTGCAACTCTGGGAGACAATTTGAATTTCAAAGCCGATTTGTAAAAGCAGTCTAGAGGTTTGAAAGATAGGGCCCGTTCAGATTCACTGGACCTGTTACCAGTGCCCTGTAACATATATTAAATCTCCCTGCACACCTCTAGTACCGTAAATCTCACAGTAGACCGTTTGGAAGAATGCTATAAGGGCAGCTTCTCATCTAAACCATTACACATTTCAATAAAACAACATGCTACAGATACACCAATTCACAAGCATGTGAAGACATTGTAAGAGGGTTATTTTCCCATTTAAACCCAAATTACAGAACACGTCTGACACAACAACATTAAAACTAGGCTACCACCAAGCCTAGCTATAAAAAACTATTGGCTATAGCTCTCAAATATAGAAGTGGATAAATGTTATCATACAGTATCATATGCATTATACAGAGCTAGGAAGCAAGCTAAACAAATAATGCTATGCATCAGATAACCTAGCAGTTAGAGCATTGGGCCAGTGACCGAAAGGTCAGTAGTTCAAATCTCAGAGCAGACAAGGTAAAAAATCTGTCTGTGCCCTTGAGCAAGGCACTTAACCCTAATTGCTCCAGGGTTGCCGTTGATAATGGCTGACCCTGGACGTGACCCCACTCTCCGAGGGTGTCTCAGGGGAGTTTGGATATGCAAAAAATACATTTACATTTCACAATTGCTTATAATACACACTTGTACATGTGTGATGGTCACCTGTTGGCAGATATGGGAGAGTGAGGTTGGCAAAAACCGCAAGAAGCCCAACAAAACCCCACAGAAATCAGACTTTCTCATCTCAAACCAATCCATGGGATTCCAATGAGACACTTGCCATGGCCTCCCTCACCCATCAAAGGTTCTTCTGCCTTTTACAGTGAGGGAAAAAAGTATTTGATCCCCTGCTGATTTTGTACGTTTGCCCACTGACAAAGACATGATCAGTCTATAATTTTAATGGTAGGTTTATTTGAACAGTGAGAGACAGAATAACAACAAAAATATCCAGGAAAATGCATGTCAAAAATGTTATACATTGATTTGCATTTTAATGAGGGAAATAAGTATTTGACCCCTCTGCAAAACATGACTTAGTACTTGGTGGCAAAACCCTTGTTGGCAATCACAGAGGTCAGACGTTTCTTGTAGTTGGCCACCAGGTTTGCACACATCTCAGGAGGGATTTTGTCCCACTCCTCATTGCAGATCTTCTCCAAGTCATTAAGGTTTCGAGGCTGACGTTTGGCAACTCGAACCTTCAGCTCCCTCCACAGATTTTCTATGGGATTAAGGTCTGGAGACTGGCTAGGCCACTCCAGGACCTTAATGTGCTTCTTCTTGAGCCACTCCTTTGTTGCCTTGGCCGTGTGTTTTGGGTCATTGTCATGCTGGAATACCCATCCACGACCCATTTTCAATGCCCTGGCTGAGGGAAGGAGGTTCTCACCCAAGATTTGACGGTACATGGCCCCGTCCATCGTCCCTTTGATGCGGTGAAGTTGTCCTGTCCCCTTAGCAGAAAAACACCCCCAAAGCATAATGTTTCCACCTCCATGTTTGACGGTGGGGATGGTGTTCTTGGGGTCATAGGCAGCATTCCTCCTCCTCCAAACACGGTGAGTTGAGTTGATGGCAAAGAGCTCCATTTTGGTCTCATCTGACCACAACTCTTTCAACCAGTTCTCCTCTGAATCATTCAGATGTTCATTGGTAAACTTCAGACGGGCCTATATATGTGCTTTCTTGAGCAGGGGGACCTTGCGGGCGCTGCAGGATTTCAGTCCTTCACAGCGTAGTGTGTTACCAATTGTTTTCTTGGTGACTATGGTCCCAGCTGCCTTGAGATCATTGACAAGATCCTCCCGTGTAGTTCTGGGCTGATTCCTCACCGTTCTCATGATCATTGCAACTCCACGAGGTGAGATCTTGCATGGAGCCCCAGGCCAAGGGAGATTGACAGTTATTTTGTGTTTCTTCCATTTGCGAATAATCGCACTAACGGTTGTCTCCTTCTCACCAAGCTGCTTGGCGATGGTCTCGTAGCCCATTCCAGCCTTGTGTAGGTCTACAATCTTGTCCCTGACATCTTTGGAGAGCTCTTTGGTCTTTGCCATGGTGGAGAGTTTGGAATCTGATTGATTGATTGCTTCTGTGGACAAGGTGTCTTTTATACAGGTAACAAACTGAGATTAGGAGCACTCCCTTTAAGAGTGTGCTCCTAATCTCAGCTCGTTACCTGTATAAAAGACACCTGGGAGCCAGAAATCTTTCTGATTGAGAGGGGGTCAAATACTTATTTCCCTCATTAAAATGCAAATCAATTTATAACATTTTTGACATGTGTTTTTCTGGATTTTTTTGTTGTTATTCTGTCTCTCACTGTTCAAATAAACCTACCATTAAAATTATAGACTGATCATGTCTTTGTCAGTGGGCAAACATACAAAATTAGCAGGGGATCAAATACTTTTTTCCCTCACTGTATGACATCAGTAGAGTAAAAAACTCTGCTGTAGTTGTGCTGTCTTCTCCCCAAACCCTACCCTCATCTTATCCCAGCTTCGCTGCCACCACCTCCATCCAGAATATGTTGTTTTGTTTCTTATCCCTCATCATTTTGTCTTCTGTGTGCTTTTTCAGTAAGCATGTGCAGTTTTGCCATTTACACAATTGTCAGTGTCACTGTTTGATGCCAGGTAGAAGTTGGAATTAAAACAAGGGTTCCAGTATACACTTCTATACTACCTCTCCCATCCCTTACATGTCTTGCATTTACAGGGTTTTCCTCCTTTTGTTTCACTTTTTGGATTTGTTTGGTCCCACGCAGTTAACGTGTACGGCAGACAAACTCTATAAAGAAGCAAGTCCTTTACTCACTCCTGCACTTATCATTCTCTTGGCTTCACCTTTTATATTTCACTCTATTCACAAGCAGTATCACTACACACTAGTTAAATGACTGTCACTGATCTTTGTCCTACACACTACTCGGACAGCAGCGAAACTATACAATATACACACTGCATACCTTGATGAAATATCTGTTGATACTCTGCATATATTTTACTTAAACCCATCTTTCTGTTTCTCTCTCCCTCACTAGTTTTCATTTGTCCCGGGACCCTGAAGGAGGTGGGGGAGTCCACGTTTGTGTTTGAGGCGGAGCAACAGGCGGGGGCGTGGTCTAAAGACCCCCTGCAGGCAGGAGACAAGGTCTTCTTCATGCCCTGGACGCCGTACCGCACTGACACACTTATTGAGTACGCCTCCCTGGAGGACTTAAAAAATGGCCGCCAGACTACGACCTATAAACTCCCTCATCGGGTCGACGGCACAGGCTTCGTGGCCTACGACGGAGCCATCTTCTTCAACAAGGAGCGCACGCGCAACATCGTGAAATTTGATCTCCGCACGCGCATCAAGAGTGGTGAGGCCATCGTGGCCAACGCCAACTATCACGACACCTCGCCATATCGCTGGGGCGGCAAGACGGACATAGACCTCGCCGTCGATGAGCGGGGGTTGTGGGTGATCTACGCCACGGAGCAGAACAACGGACGAATCGTGGTCTCACAGCTCAACCCCTACACGCTCCGCTTCGAGGCCACCTGGGAGACCGTGTACGACAAGAGATCCGCCTCCAATGCCTTCATGGTGTGTGGCGTGCTGCACGTGGTGCGGTCCACCTACGAGGAGAACGAGAGCGAGGCGGCCAAGAGCCACATCGACTACATCTACAACACTAAGCTGAGCCAGGGAGAGTACACGGACATCCTGTTCCCCAACCAGTACCAGTACATCGCTGCTGTGGATTACAACCCCAGAGATAACCAGCTGTATGTGTGGAATAACTTTTACGTCCTGCGCTACGACCTGGAGTTTGACGCTGAGAAAGACCCTGCTGACGGTAAGCCTCGGTCACAGTATGGCCTCTTTCAGATGAATCCTGACATGAGATCTGTATGTGTACATTGAATTTTCACACAAACCTCCCATTGATATCAAAACAGGACTTCTGTAAAAAGACTGAGTTACAAGCACATATTTCAGGTTGGGATTCAGCCCTTTGTGTTGTTTGCGTCAGGTGCTGAATGTATTCCTGTGTGTGTGTGTGTGTGTGTGTGTGTGTGTGTGTGTGTGTGTGTGTGTGTGTGTGTGTGTGTGATGCAGCATGGGAAGTCACAGATGACAGATTTTTTGAATAGTGGATTGTGTTTGTCCTGGGGAAGACCTAATTTGTAAACAGAAAATTACAGATTCACCTTGGAACGAGGTATAACTCCCTCAGGAGCCTTCATACTCTGGCACAAGGCATCAGCTATAAAGCCTTGCTTCCTTTATTACCATAAGGCGAGCTCAAGTACTCCCTCTCCACTTGAAGCTTGGACCCTATCAAATGTTCTAATCTCAGGTCTTATCCCAGTCCTTTATGAACAGTGGCCTTGTGAACTTCCCTTTAATGCCCCGGAATGGGATTCTGAAATATTGCATACAGTATGACAGAAGGTTATCCCACTTTCCTTGCCTTGCATTTGTAGCCGATTTGGACATTTGTTGCCATGGCTACCCCATCAACCGTTCGTTGACGGCCCCTCATTTATCCTAGATTGAGACAATATCCATTATATTATGGCCTGGCGGTCGGCGTTAACACGCAGAGTCAAAGTATCATGTGGTTAGGTGGCGGTGACGCCGTTGAATCATGGCCGAATGACAAGGTTAGAAGAATGACTTGAGCGCAGTAAAAATAAATAAATAAAGGAGGGTTTTAAATTAATCTGTGAAGTGTCTGAGGGGAGACGGACATGCATATTCTCAGACAGGGCCCTTACATCACAGTGTCTGATAATGGGTGTAATTACCTGCCTGTAGCCTCCTTATCCCTGAGCGCTAGGCAAAGTCCCCTCTAACGCTCTGCACTCACAACAAGGAATTATCAACTATATACCATGCTGCTGTGATGTGTTGGGGTGCAGCCTCCTTATCTCTAAAAGCTAGGCTAATTCCCTGCTAACTAACATTTCAAGTTGCTCCAAAGTGCTGCTCCCTGCACAAGAGTAAGTTCTGACTGAGTTCTCACTTTTTCGCTGATTAAAGAAAATTAATATTGAAAATAAAGTGATATTCAGTTAGTTGGCATTCCGGGGTATAGCTAGGTTAACGTTAAGGATTTTTCCCAAAGTGAAATTTGATCCCTGACCTGTGTGGACAAGGGCAATTTCTCCATTAACACCATATGTTCCTGCACTCTGACCACTTGTCAACATGTCTGTTTGTTTTCCCTAGATTCCTCCACATGTATACAGTGAGGGAAAAAAGTATTTGATCCCCTGCTGATTTTGTACGTTTGCCCACTGACAAAGAAATGATCAGTCTATAATTTTAATGGTAGGTTTATTTGAACAGTGAGAGACAGAATAACAACAAAAAAATCCAGAAAAACACATGTCAAAAATGTTATAAATTGATTTGCATTTTAATGAGGGAATTAAGTATTTGACCCCTCTGCAAAACATGACTTAGTACTTGGTGGCAAAACCCTTGTTGGCAATCACAGAGGTCAGACGTTTCTTGTAGTTGGCCACCAGGTTTGCACACATCTCAGGAGGGATTTTGTCCCACTCCTGTTTGCAGATCTTCTCCAAGTCATTAAGGTTTCGAGGATGACGTTTGGCAACTCGAACCTTCAGCTCCCTCCACAGATTTTCTATGGGTTTAAGGTCTTATTGCAAACAGGATGCATGTTTTTGAATATTTTTATTCTGTACAGGCTTCCTTCTTTTCACTCTGTCATTTAGGTGAGTATTGTGGAGTAACTACAATGTTGTTGATCCATCCTCAGTTTTCTCCTATCACAGCCATTAAACTCTGTAACTGTTTTAAAAACCTGAGTGGTTTCCTTCCTCTCCGTCAACTGAGTTAGGAAGGACGCCTCTATCTTTGTAGTGACTGGGTTTATTAATGCACCATCCAAAGTGTAATTAATAACTTCACCATGCTCTAAGGGATATTCAATGTCTGCTTCTTTTTTTTATACCCATCTAACAATATGTACACTTCTTTGCGAGGCATTGGAAAACGTCCCTAGTTTTTGTCGTTGAATCTGTGCTTGAAAATCACTGCTCGACTGAGGGACCTTACAGATAGGTGCATGTGTGGGGTACAGAGATGAGGCAGTCATAAAAAATAATGTTAAACACCATTATTGCAGAGTAAGTTCATGCAACTTATTATCTGACTTAATAATCTGACTTTTCTCCTGAAGTTATTTAGGCTTGCCTAACAAAGGGGTTGAATACTTATTGACTCAAGACATTTCAGCTTTACATTTTTATTAATTAGTAAACATTTCTAAAAACATAATTCCACTTTGACATTATGGGGTATTGTGTGTAGATCAGTGACACAAAATCTACATTTCATCCATTTTAAATTCAGGCTGTAACACAACAAAATGTGGAAAAGGTCTTCACACACTTTCTGAAGGCACTGTGTATGTGTGTATATATATGTATATATATACACGGTGAGGGGAAAAAAGTATTTGATCCCCTGCTGATTTTGTATTTTGACATGATCAGTCTATAATGTTAATGGTAGGTTTATTTGAACTGTGAGAGACAGAATAACAACAATAAAATCCAGAAAAACGCATGTCAAAAATGTTATAAATGTATTTGCATTTTAATGAGGGAAATAAGTATTTGACCCCTCTACAAAACATGACTTAGTAGTTGGAGGCAAAACCCTTGTTGGCAATCACAGAGGTCAGACGTTTCTTGTAGTTGGCCACCAGGTTTGCACACATCTCAGGAGGGATTTGTCCCACTCCTCTTTGCAGATCTTCTCCAAGTCATTAAGGTTTCGAGGCTGACGTTTGGCAACTCAAACCTTCAGCTCCCTCCACAGACTTTCTATGGGATTAAGGTCTGGAGACTGGCTAGGCCACTCCAGGACCTTAATGTGCTTCTTCTTGAGCCACACCTTTGTTGCCTTGGCCGTGTGTTTTGGATCATTGTCATGCTGGAATACCCATTCACGACCCATTTTCAATGCCCTGGCTGAGGGAAGGAGGTTCTCACCCAAGATTTGACAGTACATGGCCCCGTCCATACGGGCACGTACAGTGAGGAAAAAAAGTATTTAGTCAGCCACCAATTGTGCAAGTTCTCCCACTTAAAAAGATGAGAGAGGCCTGTAATTTTCATCATAGGTACACGTCAACTATGACAGACAAATTGAGATTTTTTTTCTCCAGAAAATCACATTGTAGGATTTTTTATGAATTTATTTGCAAATTATGGTGGACAAACAAGCAAGATTTCTGGCTCTCACAGACCTGTAACTTCTTCTTTAAGAGGCTCCTCTGTCCTCCACTCGTTACCTGTATTAATGGCACCTGTTTGAACTTGTTATCAGTATAAAAGACACCTGTCCACAGCCTCAAACAGTCACACTCCAAACTCCACTATGGCCAAGACCAAAGAGCTGTCAAAGGACACCAGAAACAAAATTGTAGACCTGCACCAGGCTGGGAAGACTGCATCTGCAATAGGTAAGCAGCTTGGTTTGAAGAAATCAACTGTGGGAGCAATTATTAGGAAAAGGAAGACATACAAGACCACTGATAATCTCCCTCGATCTGGGGCTCCATGCAAGATCTCACCCCGTGGGGTCAAAATGATCACAAGAACGGTGAGCAAAAATCCCAGAACCACACGGGGGGACCTAGTGAATGACCTGCAGAGAGCTGGGACCAAAGTAACAAAGCCTACCATCAGTAACACACTATGCCGCCAGGGACTCAAATCCTGCAGTGCCAGAAATGTCCCCCTGCTTAAGCCAGTACATGTCCAGGCCCGTCTGAAGTTTGCTAGAGTGCATTTGGATGATCCAGAAGAGGATTGGGAGAATGTCATATGGTCAGATGAAACCAAAATATAACTTTTTGGTAAAACCTCAACTCGTCGTGTTTGGAGGACAAAGAATGCTGAGTTGCATCCAAAGAACACCATACCTACTGTGAAGCATGGGGGTGGAAACATCATGCTTTGGGGCAGTTTTTCTGCAAAGGGACCAGGACGACTGATCCGTGTAAAGGAAATAATGAATGGGGCCATGTATCGTGAGATTTTGAAAACCTCCTTCCATCAGCAAGGGCATTGAAGATAAAACGTGGCTGGGTCTTTCAGCATGACAATGATCCCAAACACACCGCCCGGGCAACGAAGGAGTGGCTTCGTAAGAAGCATTTCAAGGTCCTGGAGTGGCCTAGCCAGTCTCCAGATCTCAACCCCATAGAACATCTTTGGAGAGAGTTGAAAGTCCGTGTTGCCCAGCGACAGCCCGAAAACATCACTGCTCTAGAGGAGATCTGCATGGAGGAATGGGCCAAAATACCAGCAACAGTGTGTGAAAACCTTGTAAAGACTTACAGAAAACGTTTGACCTGTGTCATTGCCAACAAAGGGTATATAACAAAGCATTGAGAAACTTTTGTTATTGACCAAATACTTATTTTCCACCATAATTTGCAAATAAATTCATTAAAAATCCTACAATGTGATTTTCTGGATTTGTTTTTCTCATTTTGTCTGTCATAGTTGATGTGTACCTATGATGAAAATTACAGGCCTCTCTCATCTTTTTAAGTGGGAGAACTTGCACAATTGGTGGCTGACTAAATACATTTTTTCCCGACTGTATATGTGCTTTCTTGAGCAGGGGGACCTTGCGGGGGCTGCAGGATTTCAGTCCTTCACGGCGTAGTATGTTACCAATTGTTTTCATGGTGACTATGGTCCCAGCTGCCTTGAGATCATTGACATGATCCTCCCGTGTAGTTCTGAGCTGATTCCTCACCGTTCTCATGATCATTGCAACTCCACGAGGTGAGATCTTGCATGGAGCCCCAGGCCGAGGGAGATTGACAGTTATTTTGTGTTTCTTCCATTTGCGAAATAATCGCACCAACTGTTGTCACCTTCTCACCAAGCTTCTTGGCGATGGTCTTGTAGCCCATCCCAGCCTTGTTTAGGTCTACAATCTTGTCCCTGACATCCTTGGAGAGCTCTTTGGTCTTGGCCATGGTGGAGAGTTTGGAATCTGATT